TGAAAACTAAGACTATGGGAGCTTGCGCTAATGGCAAACAGATACGGATTCGCCGTGTTTGTGTACGTTCGCGCGCACATTTCCAGCGTACGATCGGCGCACGGCCACGTGCCATCTGCCCCGCTGCTGGTGTTTCATTAATGGGTACTTCCCTTGCTGGAAACGCCACGACGGGCGCCGCTGTGGTAAATCTCTGCCTGTCCCACTCGCGCCCAGCTGGAGACGCGGCGGCCGGGGAGACGGAGAGGCAGCAGACGAGCGGGGTTGCTAGGCGACCACACACACAGCAGCGGCTGGTGCGCGAGACGTGCTTTCACAACCCTCCCCCACCGCCGCCTTCACCTCTCGCTCCCTCGCTCTTCCCGTCCCTCCTTCTTCTTCCCCTTATGTCTACGAATTCCTCTACTCTGCTTCTTTTTGCGGTCCTTTTTCCTCCCCTTTCAGTCTCCCTCGTATTCGGAGCCGGGTCGGGCCGGTGCAGCCGCAGTCCCCGTCCGTCTGTCGATGCGGTCTGTGGCTTTTTCAGTCCGTTGAAGGCAGGATCCCCGATTTGTCTGGCGAATGAAGCACGTCTCCAGGGCATGCCGTGTACCTGAAATTTTAGGGACGAAGCGATCCCATTTTCTAGTCACGGGTAACAAGCTCACGATGTTCCTGCAGTCCTGCCGCGATGTTTCCACGAACTTATGGTGCTGCGATGTGTGCGATGAATCCGAAGAGGCAAACACATACTACAGAAACACTGGCAAATGTAGTTCATCATTTAATTTTGCAAGATTTACAAAAGTTTTGAAAATTGTCCAGCACTTGGGGATGGGAACTCTCCCTCCCACATAAGGTCATAATCTACATCTACGGACACCTGATCTTGACACAGAGTAACCTAAACCCAAGTGACCTTTTTCTGATTGACCCCCTCTGTCATGCCTCGCCATACTTCCTGGAATCACACCTCCAAGGGTACCCTTTACAGTTTGAAATCCCCCTTTTGCCTCTTCAATCATGGCATCTTCTCGCTTTAAGTGGTTTCATTGGTGTGGACAGCTTAATACTGTATTGCATTACCTCTGCCTCCGCTCGCATCCTTGTGAGCAAGTGGCTGTTCTGTGAGCAAGTGGCTCTCTTAGCCGATTATTTCACCCCAAGTGAGCTCCACTTAAGCACCGTGATCCTGGATGCAGCAACAACAAAAAAAACACCCTCAGGACTCAAAGTGACTTCACCCTTAACCACAATGACATCTAATGGCCAGCTATTGTTTATCTCTTCAGCTGCAGAAGAAATAGTTTTTTCTAATATCATATGTTACACTTACATCTTAAAAATCCAAATATTTCATTCCTATATAAGTGGCTCAGTGGTTGGGGTGTTGGAATGGCAGGATACCCTAGCACAGTGTTTCCCAAACCTGTCCTTGGGGGCCCTCAGACAGTCCATACTTTTGCTCCCAACCAGAACCTAAGACACCTGTACCAGGTTTTCTGTGTTTTTGTATTGGTTGGAGCTGGGAGGAAGCAAAAATGTGGATTGTTTGGGAGTTCCCGAGGACTGGTTTGGGGAACACTGCCCTGGCAGATTGGGGGCCCAGCACTTCATAGGGGCCCCAAAATCTAATGTTGGGGCCTGGTCTGCAAAATCTACCAAGGACCCCCTCCCTCCCTGGTGACATTTTGCCAGGCCCAGAATTTCTAGCTACCCCCCCCACTCAGTGGGTAACACTGCAGTCCAGGGTTGCGGGTTTGAGTCTATGTCTGTGGAGTTTGCAGCTTCCTCATGCATAGCTTCCTGGCATATCCGTCTGTATCGCCATGTTTGTATGTTTGTCTGTCTTTTCATCAGCACCTTTCGTACCAAGCAAAATTACCCATGAATAAACTTTGATTCTGGTTTGGCAACACATTGCAGGTAGGTGAATTGTTCTCTAAATGTCACCACGTGGTGTGTGGGTATGCACAGGGTCGTAGCTAGAAATTCTAGGCACCCTGAGAAAATGTTACCTTGGATCCCTACTTGGATTGGGTTGTCCATGGTATCTAAACCCTCCAATGCCCCTGGGTGTGTGTGTCTCGCGATGGACTAGCATCCCATCAAAGGTGTCCCCTGCCTCGAGCTCTAAGCTAGACTGCATGCTAACTGTGACACTACACTGCATAAGCAGTGCAAGATGGATGGATTGTTACTAAGTGTGTAAGACAAATGTGTCCCTCAAACTTCAGACCCTGCTGAAGACATGGCCAGTTCTGCAGTGGCTGTATGGATATGTGCCCAACAGCTGCATCATTAATAAACTCCAAGTACTCAAAGTGACTCCAAGTGTCATAACACACTCCATAACATCTTAACACAATATTTCATGTCTTAAGGCACAAGCACATCCCCTTTTCCCTAACAGCAGGGTGTGTAGCAGTAGGACTTGGGGTCAGAGCTGTCTGGTCCCTGTTATTCAGCAGTGTAATGCTCCCAAGCTATCTGAGGGAATGATATTTAAATATGGAGAATCTCATTTTATCACACGTGACCCCTGTGGATTTGTATTGACTGCTCAGCTGAATAGCTGTCATTAATGACGGGGGAAGTAGGCTTCCGAGACCAATTTGTGTGGGACTATCATGCGTAATCATTTGCCTCCAGGTTTAACCAACTCCTGTTAACCGCCGATCACTGCTTGAATGTACCGGGTCCCGTTGGGCAAATCCAGGTATTACAGAGCATGCATTATCACCCCTGCCCCTCTCCCAGCCACCCCCATCAAAAAGGGGTTTCCATTGAACCTTCATTCCTTGCTTATACTGTTCATTCTGTTTCCCCCGGTTTTCACAATCTTGGAATTTCTGGAGAATTTCTGGAGTGAGTTAGGACTCTGTGCTTGTGAGCAGAAGGTTGCTGGTTCAAATCCCAGGATTGGAAGACTGATGTCACTGTTAGGCCTCTGAGTGAGGCCCTTAATCTCCAGCTGCTCCAGGGACTTACCCTGCTTTTTAGTATATTGCCTTGGATAAAAAGTATCTGCCGAAAATGTATCTTTATCCCCACTTGTTTCTCTTTTTTCAGTGCTCCGGGCCCCCCAGGCTCGTATCCGCGTTGTGTCACTTCCTGCCCCCCTCCCCCCACCTTCCTACGGCCTTACCACCAGCTCCCTCCTTCTCTCCGGCAGCTTGTTGGTTCGCTGAGTCACCGGTAACGAGGCCCCCTACTGTCCACACACTCTGGCCCACAGACCGGCATGACACACCCACCCCGGTTTATGAGTTTTTCGCTAAATAAATGAATGTTCATGCCCCTCAGGATTAGCGGCGGACTGTGCAGAGATCCGTGGCCCCAGTCGGGGACACCCCAGGTAGAGTGGCAGTGGGGCACCCCCCCCCCACCCTGCTGTGCAGACTCATCAGCTTCACAGCTTCATGCAGACTTGCTGTGATCCAGAGGGCGGGCTGTTTACCGCCCATGCTGAGATACTCTCACACCCCTATGACTAATGTCCCCCCGCCGCCCTGCAGCCTGGCCTGGGGTAACTGCACAGCCACGGGGTAATTGGGCTGCACTCACTCGCATCGCGTGTGCTTTCTGTTGTGACTGTGTTCGCACTTGACCTCTGATAGCTGGGATATTTATAAACTTGAATTAATAGTTCAGACTACAGAAGGAATCCATCTAGCATGCTCTAATATAATCTACCCACGCCTTTAAGCAAAGGCAATTGTAATGCTTGAGTCATAATACTATAGCTCTCTACCAATGATAATAACAATAACTATAATGGATGATAATTACAAGTATGAGAGTTTTGTAGCTGCCCCCTGGGAATACAGCCCATTCAATTAAATCCTCATTCTTCACTTTTCATGGAGGGATGGGAGGAGAATGTGGAGATCTCCAGGGGCAGCCAATCACACGGGGACTGGCATACCCTGTGGGCTGGAGTAGCCAATCACAGGGGGACCTGTGTTTTGTATGGGCTGGTGTAGACAAATATGGAGTGACGTGCGTGGCTCTGCAGATTAGGACTGTGTGTCTGTGATCCGATGGCTACTGGTACAAATCCCTTGGCGCTATATATATATGTGTATGTGTGTGTGTGTGTGTATATATATATATATATATTACAGAGAGAGAGAGGCTTGTGTACTGTATTGCGGAACATACAGGCCTTACACTATAGGAGAATTGTGGAAACATTGCAGCCAATCACGGTTTAATTTGTGTCCTATATGGTCTGCAATGGCCAATGATGGTGTGAACTGTGTCCTATATGGGCTGTAGTGGCCAATCACGGTTTAACTTGTGTCCTACTGTATATGGTCTGCAGTGGCCAATGATGGCGTGACCTGTGTCCTATATGGTCTGCAGTGGCCAATGATGGTGTGACCTGTGTCCTATATGGTCTACAGTGGCCAATGATGGTGTGACCTGTGTCCTGTATGGTCTGCAGTGGCCAATGATGGTGTGACCTGTGTCCTATATGGTCTGCAGTGGCCAGTGATGGTGTGACCTGTGTCCTGTATGGGCTGTCATCACAGCAGTCACATAAAACCCACTCAGCACCCCAGGAGGCTGAGGAATTTCTGCCCTACCACGAGGCCTCTGCTGCATCATGTGACAAGTCCTGTTACTGCAGTGTTTTGACAGTCCCCAGCAGAGGGTGTTGAGGGTTTGGGGGGAGGGGGGCAGATCTTCGTGCTATGTTGCTGGGCCTTAGACGCCCTCTTTTTCCCCACATGCTGAAAGGTACATACAGGCTGTTCCCAGCGTTACTTTGGTGGATGACAGTGTCCTCTTGCTCATTCTATCAGCTTGCAACTCGCTGACAGTCCTGAAGTGCTACACATCTCACATTCACCGGCATTCAACAGTCAGTCGGCAAAATCTGGTTACCAAATGCTGAGTAGAAAACTGTATTATGCCGTGCGTGTGATACATAGCGAGAAAAGCAGAAATAAATGCAGCAGTAGCATATTTTGATGGCAGTATCAATACTAATAAACCCTCATCTTTGTCTCCAGGTTCTGCACGGAGGGAATTTCTGTGAAGCCCCTCCCCCGTCTCTCTCCTGATTGGCTGCTGTACAATGAACTCTGGCGCCACCCAGGATGTGGCGGTGGAGCGCTTCCTGCAGGACATCGAGAGGCGGGGCAGTCAGCTGCACTGCGCTGTGATTGGAAAGGACAGGCCGGGCACCCACACTGACATGAACCTGTTGTATCGCAAGAGCCGGCTGGACTGGAGGAACGGCGACCCTGACAGCAACAAGAAAAGGTAAGAACCCGAGACGGGGGGGGGTGGACTGGGGGGAGGCAGCACATGCTGCCTTTTGTCTGAACCTTTAGTTGCTTTGTTCAGGTAATTATTCAGGGAGTGAGTTACCTGCGGTCTTAGGTGTCAGGCGCTAATTAAAACCTGTCGAAACCACATGACTCCAGTGATCAGGGCTGGGCCTTTCTTCAGGATTTTGGACGTGCGACGATGCATTGAGGGCAAAGGTTGGGTGACTTTAGTTATTGGGGAGAGCCCGGGTTCTCCAGCAGGGCGGCACTGCCCTTGTCCTCTAGGGGGCGATAAAAGTGATTGATACATCTAGACACTTTGGTGCCTAGATGCAGTTAGATACTTTGTGATGCTTCAGATATAACAAAACTGAATCTCCTCCATCTCTGTTATCATCATTCTATTATTCCAGTCTTTTTGCACAACTTTAATACGTAAAGGAAAAGCAATGTGTTTTCAAATTTTGTTCCTCATATTTAATGTGGTAAATATCTAAATCAAAAGTCCATCCATCTTCCAAGCCCACTTATCCAGTACAGGGTCAGGATCAGCACCTTGCATCTCATTAGACTGTGGGAGGAAACTCATATGGCACTGGGTGAACATGGAACCTCATACAGTGAGCAGAGGTGAGGTTCGAACCCTCAACCCTGGAGGTGTGAGCAGGGCTGAATTTCGGGGGGTTGGCCCCTGGGCTAACATCATTGTCGGGGCCCTACCTAAACCATGGAATGCTACTGTCGACTGCCTAAGACTTTTATGCAGCACCATGTTTCCGATCATTCAGGCCAGTGTTTCCCTCAGACAGTCCACATTTTTGCTCTCAAACTCATCTGTACCAGGTATTTGGCATTCTTGATTGGCTGGCAGCTGGGAGGGAGCAAAAATGTAGACTGTCTGGGGATCCCTGTGGGCTGGGTTGAGAAACACTGATCTAGACAACTCAACACCTATCTGTAGCACTCAGAATTAATGGCCAATTAGAAACTGGGAAGGAGGGGGAGGAGTCAGAACTGCGGGAGTCAGCTTTAAAATACTCTAGGATTCTAGGAAACACTAGGATTGGCAGATACTGAGACAAGTGAAACAAAGACAGTGTAATAGGTGCTTCCAGTGCAAACGAGAGCAAAAGCATCTCCTGAGAGCAAAACATTCTGTTATATCACCAGCCCTGTCTGCTGCACATGTAATATACTTCCTTTTGTGTACTCAGGAAATTGTCTACCGGGCAGAGCAAAATGCACTTTTTTCAATGGAATCCCCATTTAATTCAGGTTGATTTACTCAGGAGCCGAGGAAACTTAATATTAATCACTGCAAGATGGCATTTGAGGACACTGATGGTAAAATGTGCTGTGAAAATAATAATTTAAGAGGTATTTCTCCTCGCATGCATCAAAAGATTGGGATGTATTTTTTGAAGAATGAAAACTGATTGAATACTTAGTTTCTTTAGTGAACGGCTCAGGTTTAGGGTTGCAATTGTGCAGTCCCCTCATATACACGCCCATCAGCCAATGGCCATTTGTCATACTGTGATGTACACACAATGTTCAAGAAGGCTGGTGCTCATTGGAAGCCAGTGTTGCAGGCCCCTAACTCACCACTAGCTGGTGCTTACCCAGCGATGAGGCCTGCCCTTCCCTGGTCCTACTTCCGCTGTCCCGGGTCACAGTCAGCAGATGGCTTAGCGGCGCTTTCAGCCTGCACTCCGGATGAGGGCTGCTGGTATTTTTATCCGTTATACGCAGAGAGAATGTATAATAGTTTATTTGATGTGCGTCACTACAGTGAATTTGGCAGCATGGTGGGACGACTCCTTTGATCAGTCTCACCGGAGAGCCGCGTGAGTCCATGTTCAGCTAGCGAACGTGATGGAACAGAGCCTTTCCCTGGGGGAGATCAAGCTTCTCCTTGTCCTCCTCAACACCGCGAGACCGGAGGAGAGGGATAGTGTACTCTGCCGCAAGATTCCTCTGCAATTCCTACGCCGTCCTGCACGCTGGCTCTGAGCGTCGTCACGATTGCGTGCCATGCGTTTGTATGTCTGCCTCACACCCTAACCGGAGATCCGGTCTGCTCCTCTCTGTATCACTATGAGAGCAAAACCACACTGGTGATGTTGTTGAAGCACTGGGGGCACAGTACACATGTCCTGCAAAGAAATCGTCTGTTGGATCATGAACATCTAAGAGGGCAGAGGAGAAGAGAAGGAGAGGAAGAGGATGTGACTATCTCAGCTCTCCCGTCAGGTCGCTGATGCATCATTTGTAAACGTAACACCTCCCTACCCCCACCCACATAGGTTGAAATACTCAAACAAAAGTAATACGGGCTGGGAGTGCTAAATTAGTCAGACTGTTGGCTGTTCCCCCCGGGGGGTGGTCAGGAGGCTAGCCCAGGTTTAGAGCGGCAAACTGCGTCACTGTGAAGCATGGAGGATATGGAGACAGTGCTTCCAGGAAGGTGGATGCTGAGACGGAACACCGGTGATGACAAACGGCTGAAGCCATGTGTGGCTGACGGCAGGCACTCGGACAGGGTGTGGTTTGTCATTTTCAGCATTTTTAGGAGCATCCGTTGATCTGGAGACTCCAGTATACAGGACAGATTTCGACAGAATGATTATGGTTTAGGTGATATGACCTCTGTAAAATGTGTCACCTTGGTGTGTAGAACAATTACTCACTAGTCTTTTTTACTACAGATTTGATTCAGAGAGATTTGATTATACAAGTTAGCTAGTTATACTGTGTGCAGGTTTGGTCACCATACCTTAAGAAGGACATTGCTGCCTTGGAAAGGGTTCAACGTAGGGCTACAAGAATGATTCCTGGTCTTAGAGGAATGTCTTATGAGGAGAGGTTAGCTGAGCTGAATCTGTTTAGCCTTGAGCAAAGGAGTCTTAGGGGGGACATGATCCAGGTATATAAGATTCTAACAGGTCTGGATGCTGTTCAGCCAAATGACTACTTTAATATTAGTTTAAATACTAGAACTCGTAGTCTTCCTGCTAGTATAGCAGAAGCTAAACCCTGGGTTCCTTTAAATCAGAGCTAGATAAGATTTTAACAACTCTGAGCTGTTAGTTAAGTTCTCTCCAAACAAGCTTGATGGGCCGAATGGCCTCCTCTCGTTTGTAAATTTCTTATGTATGTTGTTATGTAGGAACAGACCAAACAGAATTTATAAAGAATTTTCCCAGATCTACTACAATATCAGTTTTCACAAGCATTGTAAATAGCAGTACTGTAGGACTTCTAGAGGATTTACATTTGCTTTCTAGGCACTTCAATCCAAACGGACATACTTCTTCCTTTTTTTGGGAAACCATGGTCAGAGAGTTCCTGAAACAAGTGTGGATTAAGGGTGTTGCTTAAGGGCAGGTCCTCTGCTGAGCCTGGGATGTGAACCAGCAACCTTCCAATCACAGGCTCGGGATTCTAACCCACTGAGCTGACTGTAACATATCTGATCAATGCTGAAATATCAATGGAAAACCAATAGAACGGGGAGTTTATTTGCTACAAAGTCACCTTTGGGGGCAGAAATGTTTAATAATGTGGGCAGTGACACCTGGTGACAGAGAGCAAAGCCGAGGACAGCACAGGGGACGCACTTCCTGTTTGCGTCCTCTGTTCTGGGGATCCACGCCAAGGACGGGTGAAATTACGAAGCTGCGGTCTATGTTCTTCATTCATTCAAGCAAAGCCTGCAAACCCAAGGCACAGGAGAAAAAACCACTACGGTGACGTAGGCACACCAGGAAGCAAGCGAGCCTTCTGTTCAGATCCCACATACGTCCAATCGCATGCGCATGCACGCCCTCCAGGAACGAATTCCACACAGAGCCACTGACACACACAGACGCAAACCCACACACACCCACACACGCCCACCAGGAAGTCAGACCTACGCTCGCTCTGCTCCTCTCCCTCCTCTTGTCCTATGTGGTGCTTCATTCATTCATTTTTTTCCTCTCCTCTATCTCACTCTCTCTCTCCCGCTCTTACTCTCTTCCTGCGAACTGTGCCGGTTTCCAGGGACGAGTTGAAAAAGGAAGAACAACGGATGGTCTTTTACAACCGGGAACTGAACTACCCGGTGACTTTCCATTTAAATTTAAATGAGGCGCTGTCAGCTTTTGGGATTAATGTCAGAAATATATAAACGTATTTGTAAATGAGGGCCATAGATATATTTGAATCGACGAGTCCTGTACAGACATGTCACACACATGAGCATAACCCCTCCCTCCCATCTTGAATCCTAAATGTGACTGGTCACACCTTTTTACACGATAACAGGAGATTTATAGGATTTATTCCAGGCAGTTCTTAATATTTATCTCTGGGACATTTTCATATAAATTACAACATTATCCAAGCTCCCTGAATTCATGAAATTACAAAATACCTGTCCTGTCATTAAAGCATGTGTTTCAAATACGTGAAATACGAATCCATCCCTGTATCATTTTTACCATGGTTACCACAGCTGTTTATTCATTAACCCATTTATATGTGGGCTCACCAACCATAATCTTAAACCCTGGTTTTATGCACCACATTACTGGCCCAGTCCCTGGACATGAGTACTGGGAAGGGAATCAGACTTGATCTTACAGAGTTGATTAGTTATGTCTTGCCTTATATCCTCAAGGAAGTATTTCAAAACACCTGTCTCAGCACAATTCATGAGGCGGCCTGGAATGGGACTAGGGCAGCTTTGCTGGGTCATATTGATGGGTTTTAAGCAAAGGAATAGTCCTCAACAATTCCTCGACACATTGCTTCTTCTGTCAGTGCATAGCAACCCCCTAATGTTACTGAGGCATTGTGGAAGAGCTGCAACGTTTCACATGTCCTCACAGCAGATCAGTGCAGGTCACAGCATCTCCGACCGCTTCACCCAAGACAGGGGCGCAAATATGAAGGAGGCACCGATTACACGCCTTCCAGTGGGACATATTTACTCAAAAGGAAGAGGGA